GAAGTAGGATTGCCCAACCTTCCTTCCGAGGAGTGGCTGGTGGGTTTGAACCGCCAGCCGTCTGGTTAGCAGGCAAGTGAGCTTGGACAAAACTTCTGTCTTCAAGTATTTGAAGGACTGCTACATAAGAAGGGCAGAACTAGAAGCTAGGGAATGGAGACCAAGCATATTTTAGATCCACATTAGGACGAACATAGCAGGTAGTAGTGTTCAGCGTTTTGGCCAACCACCTCAACTAGCAGGAAAATTCCTGTCACAGAAGCATTCAGGAAGATGCTGACCAGCCCCTGAAAGCATTTAGCAGAAGGAATGACAGGCTCAGTGAGAACTCCTCCAACACCCCTTTCAAATGAAGTGAATGACTGTGATTCTTGCCTAAGCAGTGAGGTAATATCTGCCATCTCTATCTCTATAAGGCCATACATTCCAACTTTGAAATTATTATTTTAAAGGTGCTGCTGGCCAGAAATTAGGAGCTGTGGTGGCATAGTGCCTAAGGCATTTGACTGCTAACCAGAAGGCTGGTGGTTCAAACCCACCAGCCACTCCTCAGAAGGAACACTGGGCAACCTACTTCCGTAGATACCACCTCGGAAACCCAAGAAGAGGTCGCTATGAGTCGGATCTGACTCGACAGCAGTGCATTGCATTTGTTTTGTTTGGTCAGAAATTTAACTCTTTCAAAATAGTTTAATGTGTGTCCATGTATATTGATAGAATTTAATCTGGTGTTTTAAAAAATGGATTCTAAAATAAGTTGCTAAATAAAAAAAAATAATTTAAAATCTGTAACAAAACTGCACTAGGCTCTTGGGGAAAAATAAAGTATGGAAAACCTATACTAGCAATTGTTTTGTCCTTTGTTCCTGCTGGAGGCTTTCTTAACCCTTTTTTCTCACTATTTTTAAGAGGTTGTTGGAATGGTATGAGATTTATTGCTCATAGATCTAAAGAAAAATACTAGTAGGTATTCCTTCCCTCCCACATATTGAGTAAACTTTTCATCTTCTAACTTCCAATTTCAAACCTCTTATCTATACCAATTAATAAAAACCTTCCATCTTAAGACAGTAAGAAACAGTGCTTCATTTTCTCATAGGCAATTCTTTTTTTTTTTTTT